TGTAGGAGCGATCAAGAAAAGTTCTTGATATCAGTTTTTGGTGAAAAACTTATCTGAAGTCATGCACACTCACCCTCCATCGAATTCTTTCTAAAGAGTTTAATTCTTGCTAAGGAACCACCTGCTGATTCTGCTCCACCCTACGCTGTGTCATCTTCAATGGGAGCAGTCTTTGGCATTTTCCTTGGGCATGAATACCTTCGTTGGGAGTTACTGCTACTCCGTATCAGATATATCCCTCTCCTACTTTTTGATTTCAGATTTGGTCCGATTTAGGTTCAAGATTGATTATTGAAAATCAATTTTTTAAAACAGAGAATATGATTCCTACATAGGAGAGAAAAATTTTTGAAATTTCGCCCAACCTACCTGTAGAGTTCAGCCATTATGATGGATCTCTCATCCTTTCAACTGACTTAAGCATCGGAGCGACCTCACTAGGTCTTCCACCCCGATCCCTCTCAGTACTGTTTTACAGATTGATCCAGGCAGTTATCCAGCTAGGAACTTCTAGATCGCACATCATCAATATGTAATTCAACGAACGATTATTGTGATGCAAGGGGTTGTGTGGCATAACTGCATATTGTATTCTCATGGATGAAAAAGTTGAATGCAAATGTCTGCCCAGTTTCGATTTCATTGATAGAAATCAACAGACGCTGGGTTGCGTGAGGAAATTCAGTGCAGAGAGTTGTGGAATCCAGAGCCAAAACATCGAGTATGAGATGTTTGCTTTGGACCGTACCACATGGGAAGTTGATCCTTACGTTGTTTTATGGACCATTACCACTGAAGAAGATTGCAAAAAGGCGTGTTTGGAGGATTGCAGTTATGAAGCTGTAGTTTTTAATCAAGAGTGCAGGAAGCAGAAGCTTCCGTTGAGATATGGGAGAAGAAATCTTGATGAGTCGACCATGGTTTATATCAAAGTGGGAAGAGGAAGCGAAAGAAATGGCACGAAAACAAGAAAGAACAACGAAAAGACATTCTGATAATCGGAGTGGTATTTCTCGTTCGTGCATTCATTTTGCTAGCGTTGTCTGTCGTTATTAGTTACAGAACCGTGTTTGGGCTTGTATAACAGGATCTTGGATCAGAGAAGTATAGGACTACCCGAGGAGATTGCTCTACGGTCATTTACTATCGCTGAACTACAAAAAATTAGTGAAGGTTTCAAGGAAGAGACGGGCAGAGGCTCTTTTTGTACAGTTATCAAAGGAACTTTACCAAATGGCCAAAGCCAGGAGGACCGTCGCTGTCAAGAGACTGGAGAAGATGTTGGATGGAGAGGGGGAGTTTCAGACTGAGATGCGCGTGATTGCCAAAACCCATCATAGAAACTTAGTCCGATTGGTTGGTTACTGCAACGATGGTCCTAATGAAGCCTCTGGTGTACGAGTACATGAGCAATGGATCACTTGCAGATCTCTTCAGAAAGGAAAGACGACCAAATTGGGATGAAAGGGTGGGAATTGCTTTGAACATAGCTACAGGTATTCTATATTTGCACGATGAATGCGAGACCCAAATAATCCACTGCGACATAAAGCCCCAAAACATACTCATGGACGAGTTCAATTGTCCAAAGATCGCCGATTTTGGATTGGCAAAGCTGTTGAAGCCAGACCAAAGTGGGACCTTTACAGCAATCAGAGGGACAAGGGGATATGTGGCACCAGAATGGCACCGGAACATGCCCATAACAGTAAAGGCAGATGTCTACAGCTTTGGGGTCGTCTTGTTAGAACTAGTATGTTATCGTCGCAGTGTGGATGTTAATGTTCCTGAGGATGAGATTGTTCTTACGGATTGGGTCTATGACTGTTTCAAGGTTGGTGAGTTACAGAAACTAGTTGGTGATGAAGTGGTGGACAAGAAAAGATTGGAGAGGATGGTCAGCGTGGGTCTGTGGTGCATTCAAGACGAGCCATCACTTCGGCCATTCATGAAAAAGGTGGTTTTGATGTTGGAAGGGACTGTAGATATACCAGTTCCTCCTAGTCCTTTTTTTAGTACCATCTAAGTCATGTTGGATTTTTTTTTTTTTCTTTTGGTAATAAGGTTATGCTGGATTGAGTTGAAGGTGAGGATTCAGTTATTCATACACAGAATGAGTTGAAGGTGAGGATCCAGTTAGACTGTTATATATATATGCACGGTTCAATTTGATCCAGTTTATGCAACTTCACTTGTAGATAAGTTTGTTTGTAATAACTGAAATGATCACAGAAGTCATCTCCATTTGGTTTTCTAGCAAAAGGTTCTTTGGATTGAAAACGAGTCAAGAGATTATGGATCAATGGTTCTTTCCTTCATTTTTCTTAAACACTCGTTTTGGAATTTCTCAGAAAAATCTGTTTGTGGGCTAGCATTCAGGCTCCATTGTTGTGGCAACTGGCAACTCCTTTGCCACACCTGTGTAAAGAATGAAAATTCAAGAAGTGGGTTCAACAAGGCAATTTAACAGGTTAATAAATGATTCAGAATATTGGACTGGTTAATTCATCCCTTGACATGGCTTCCAAGAATATGTTCAGAAAGTCATGTAGCATATAATAAAAATAAATAAAATGAAATTTGAGTAGCCCGGTTCAGAAAGAAATCAGAAAGGTTTAGAGAGAATACCAGTGAAACCGTGATCAGTTGAAACCTAGAAGGTTTACCATTCACCATGAACAGCTTGGCTTCTAAGGAGATGCCTTAAGACTTCAGACTTCTAAAGTTATTTTTTGCTTGAATCCTTCAAATGTCAAGTTGACTCTTTTCCTAATTTTCCTTTAAGAGAGATCAAGAAACCATTCATACAAAGGAAAACTACCATGTCCCCATGGCCGCTATTATTTTGTTTCTCCTCTGCATTTTGTTCAGTGACAGCTGCTAAACAAGGATCATCCAACATAAGCTTAAGCGCCTATCTCCTCCCCCACCACCAACTCATCACCATGGCACTCCTCTTTGGTTCAATTTACATTTCGATTTTACCCACTAGGCAATCACTTCACTATCAAGAGTCTGGATTGCAATAAGTCCTCAGAGGTTGGTTGTGTGGACAGCAAACTCAGATGACCCACTGGTTCCAGTAAATGCTACATTACTCTTCACAAGAGATAGTAGACTTGTCTTGCAAACCATGCAAAGCCAAAGCAAAACCATTGTTTCAACTGCCCAAATTGCTTCTTCAGTTTCCATGCTCAAGTTGGCAATTTTGATTTTTAAGGTTCTCCCAGAAAGATCATATGGCAGAGTTTTGATTATCCAATTGAAACCACTTTACCTGGTCAGTGTCTTCTAGCACAAAGAACTGTTTTCTAGTGTCTCAAACTGATCCTTCAACAGGAAAGTTTTGTCTCAAGATGCAAAAAGACAGAAACCCGGTTCAGTATCAATAGAAACACCAGACATAACCCCCTACTCTCATTGGTCTTCAGGAATAGATGGCAAAGGAGATTACGTCACTTTAAGTATTGATAGTCACCTCTATTTTCTCCATAAGACTGATTTCAGTATAATATAGAATGTGACTGATGGTGGGTTTTCTACAAACAGATCGATAGTCTACTGCATGATGGATTGATGGGGATGGAATCTTTTGAATGTATTTGAACAGTTCAGGTAGGAGTAGCAATTTTCCAATCAATCCAGTATCATCAATCAATAATTGTGAACCCAAAAGTCTCTGCAGCCTAAATGCCTACTTTGTCTCATGGATCAAAAAACTGTTTGCATCTGCCTATCTGGTTTCAATTACATTGACATGAGCCAAACATATTTCAGGCTGCAAGGGGAATTTCAATGCTGAGAATTGTGGAAGCAAGAAAGTACAGACCAAATATGACATGTCTAAACTGGAACGTACCAAGATGGAAGTATTCAACTTTATCACCTGTAGCCAATGAAGATGATTGCAGAGCTGCCTGTATGGAGGACTGTGACTGCTAAGCTGCACCGTTTGGAATATGTTCTACATTTGGTATTACAATAACTTTTTCCCTCATAATTCATGGAAGGCTCCAGATTTCTCACCTTCCTTGGCTTCTATTTTGGCTCTGATCTTCCATTTTATGTGATCCTCACAATCAGGTCCATAGATGCCTCCTTATTATCAAAGGACACAGAAATATTCCCAACTCCAACAGCCCAACTTACACTGCCTGTCCCAAGCCCAGGTAAAGGAGGTTGCATCAGGTTGGCAGCTAGCATTAAAACTTTTGCCAAACTCTTATGGTCATGGATCCTGACGATGGTTGCATTCTCTATGAACCAAACATGTAATTGAGTGAAATATATTACAGAAAACAGAAAGGTTGTAGGCATAAAGAGATGTAGATTGAACAATAAATATGAAATATTTTTAATTCATCACCCTTCCACCTAGCAGAAACCATGGAATTTAAAAGAAAAAGAAAGATAAACCTGAAATAATGTGTTAAAGCATATGTAGTTAGATCAGTGTTTTAAAAGGCGTAGGAGGCGAATGCCAGAGGCGCTGACACCTCTGAGGCATACGCCTCTTGCGCTTTTTTCATGAGGCGTGCTAGAGTCGTACACCTCAGGCACCTCATGCACATCTGATATAAAAAGAAAAAAGAAAAAAAAAAAGGAAAGGAAAGGAAAAGAAAAGAAAGGGAAGGGAAAGAAAAAGAAAGAGAAGAGAAAAAGAGAAAAGGAAAGGAAAAGAAAGGGAAGGGAAAGAAAAAGAAAGAGAAGAGAAAAGGAGAAAAGGAAAGGAAAGGGAAGGGAAGAAAAGATGAGGGGAAAGAAAGTGATTTGCCCCTTGCCCCTTCGGCTGGGGGGTTTCAACTAATGTTATGCATCTTTATTCTTCTTAATATAAAAGATTTTTATTAAAAATAAAGAAAAAAAATGAGATCCCCCCTTCCTCTTCATCCTCCTCCTAAGCCCCCTCCTCTTAAGGAGGCTTACGCCTCACACCTTTAGGTAGTGGAATGCCTCGCGTCACGCCTCCGCTTTTTAAAACATTGAGTTAGATACATAAAGAAAGAGAAATAAGTCATTGTATGTATTAAAAGATAATGATTGACTTATAAACATCTATCCATGAAATGACTATGGATACAACTGCAGTCAAAAATGAAGGGGAAACTATTTTCCAACCAAAACACACAGAAAAGTAAGACCCCCAAGAATCAGGTTGCAAATATCTTGCCACAGTTTATTTTCCTTGAGTAAGCAACCAAAGTTAGGGTGAAAAAGGACAATATCATACTTCCATCAACTAGTTGGGTCTAAATTGTTTGAGAGAAGGCATATTGCCTTCTATATCACATTTACAAGCAGAAACCCCAGGTCTCACATCTCTTCATCAACTGCATTTGCATGCTTTGTTCAAAGCATCAAAAACACCCTGCAATGTTACTTCTTCAACAAGCACAACCTTGTCCCTTGATTTAGAACCAGAACCTATAGATACCTGCCTTTTCTTCACCCCTATAACCTAAAAGAAAAACCAAAGATTGTGTAAGTCCCATAATTGGCTGTGGTTCAAGAGACAAGATTACAAAAGAGGACAGTGTATAGCAAAAAGATATATCCATTCCCATGGAAAGAAAGATGCCAGTTGAAACACTATGATTTAGTGGATATAAATCTATCTGATTATCTACAAAAAAATGGCAAACCATGTGATCAGAAAGCCAAGCAATCAATATATATATATATATATATATATATATATATATATATATATATATCATCATCATCATCATCTAAGCCTTAACCCAACTATATGGGATCAGCTACACAAATCCTGTTTCACCATTCCATTCTGTTTGGTATCATAATTAATAACATTTACAGACAAAATGTGTGGCACTTACAACCATAACTGTTAAAGCAGCTTTCTTTTCTCATTTCTAAAACCACCCAAAACAAAGACATTCCAATGGATATTGAAAGATATGGATCTTGGGAGGCTAGAGAGATGGAAGCATGCCTTCAATGGGTTCAAAGGATAGCAAACAGCATGGCTGATGAACTAGCCAAGAAAGGGGTGGGGAGGGAGCAAATCTTTTAGGCACAATTGTAAGGAAAGTTGTAGGGGAGACAAAATCTTGCTGTCTCTCCCACTAATATTTGTAATATGTACTTTTTAATCTACATTACTAAAATGCTCAGTTATTAATCAAAAAATGAAAAAAAAAAAGATATGGATCTTGGTCAGTCACCAATTCATGGAGTGACCTAGGTCTTCTTCTTCTTCTTCTTTTCTTGAAAATTATACATTTCTTATGAAAATTATGTTTATTAAAGAAATATGATTATGGAACCAAGGGAACTACTCTAGGATACATATTTTTACTTGAAAAAAATCCATCGCCTAGGCAACTAGGTGCCCCCCTGTCGCCTAGCCTCGCCTTGGCGCCATGAAAACTATGGTCAATTGATGGCTAAAAGTGCTCCTCAGGTGGAAGCTCAACAAAAATGCATAATAGTAAACCCAGAGACACCAACTCAAGGATCAATTGAAGCCTAATCCCAGTTGCTTGTAACTCAACATTAATCTAGGTTACCTTTAATTGGATAGGTCAGGTTAGGCCATGTTAAGCGGCACATACAAGAAATCCCAGAAATGTCGGAGATCATTGCACCATTAGAGATGCAACATACCATATTCAGGGTGAAAACATCATTAGTTAGGGTAATCACCATGAATTATAAAATGAGATAAGTGTTCCCTCCAGAAATCAAACAATTAGATTTTCTATGTAATTTGGATTTAAAAGTTAGGCTTGACATTTCTGTAATCATGCTGTACTGACCGCTTTTAATTAAATTTAATAAAATGAAATATATTTTCTGCTGATCAAAAAAAAATGGAATCACAGGATACTTTGTGGAATCAACACAGTGGAATACAACAAAGTCACAAGCAACATAGTAGTGGAATCAACACAATTACTCTGAGTTGCTATGTAATTTGGATTTAAAAGTAAGGTTTGGCATTTCTGTCATCATGTTGTACTGACCGTTTTTAATTAAATTTAATAAAATGAAATATATTTTCTGCTGATTAAAAAAATAGGGAATCAACAGGATACTTTGTCAGTGCAACAAACCTTTTTTTTCTATCAGTAATAACGAATTTTATTAGATATCAAACAACAAAAGAAAAAATGCAATACAAGAAGAAATCAATTGCCCCCAAAGAATGAACAGCCAAACCCACGGGCCAGACCATTAGCCTACTGAAACAATGTGCAAAGAAATCCAAAACCAAGAGGCTTGTACCCCAACATTCTCTCAAGTCCTCCATTCAAGCTATCAGACAGTGAGTTCACTGATCTTAGACCTTCACTCTCCTAGCCCCCCAATGTGATGATGCAACAGCCAACAACACCTCCATCCATCATCCCCTACACAATCACTTGGGAATCCCCTTCAAGTTCCACCTAGTAGATCCCAAGGAGTGCATCAACCTCAGTCCCAGAAGCAAGGCCATGATCTCTACTCTGATTATTCTTTGGGCCCTACCAAATAAGATCATCCCCCCACCACCAACAGTCTCCAAAATGTCTCAAGTACCTCAGAGAACAGTCAACAAATTGAACTTCATTATTAGAATCGTTACATGAAATGATGAGAACAATCTCTCTCATATACACATCCAACAGACTAGAAATAAAAGATGGGTTGTTTATCAATAAATAAAAGAAGAAAATCACAGAAGAATAAGCAGAAAAGCACCAAACTTTATATCCAAGAAATAATCAAGGGTGTTCTTTGCATGAAAGTTAGAAAGATAACAAAAATGTATAGTAGAAATCTGCTGAATTAAAAAAATATAAAAGAAAAGTAATTTCTTGAAGAGAGAAGGAAGAGAGAAGGAGAAGAAGAAAAGATGGAAAGAAAAAGAGAGCAATGATCTGGCCGCCCCCTTCACTTATTATTTATACTAAAATAATAGAACAGTACAAAGACAACTATGCCCTTATAGGGYRRCAAAACATAAAACAGCATATATAACACTCAAAAACATAATAAAATTTGGACTCACATAACTACT